GAATCTCCATGAGGTAAGACTGGATTTTTTAGGCTTCTTGAGCATTCGATCACCCCCCTCCTCCCAAAAGTGGCAGAGAAGAAAAGTTCTCAAAGTGTTAAAAGTACAGTCCTTCCCCCATAGCCTGCAGTGGGAACTAGTGCTTCCCAGTACATACAGCTTGAATGGGCAAGGCAGGACCCTGCTTAGGAGGCAAATGAAAAATTGCTACTATGTCAGTCACAGACATTTCTCCCAGGATTGGGACCCTCTGCATTATCATCCTTTCACTCCCATTCTTACTTCAGAGTAAACTTACACCTAGGACACATTGCCCTTGAGCCCAGGAAGAGTCTGACTTTCTTCTGTTCAGATGGGGAGGAGGTGGGCATCTCTATTTACTTTAAAGCCTGCATCTAATTCCCCTACCATTTACACTAGCATCATGCAATAGAGTCACTCCTGATTTACACTGGGACAATTGAGAGGAAATGCAGACCCATGGATCTGTTGTGACCTGTATTTTTTATTGTCCTCTGTACTAAGTCTCAGAAATTTAGTTTTTATTTTATTTTAGGTGGAAGCTTTATTATTTCTTTTTCTGTCTCCAAAATAAAGCAGCAAACCTTTTTGAAAGGCACCGCCAAGGAGTTTTAGACTCTGCATTTCAATCAGGTGGCAGGTACAAACTCTAATGAGAAAAGAAAATGCTTCTTGAATGCTTTTCTCAAGCAATGGTGAGAACAGACTGCCTGCTCTCTGCTGCGTGGGTATAAACACTCCATGTAATGTTGTTGCTATCACTGCTGTTAATTGTTATTAGTGGCGATGGGTGTAGTGTGTATTAATAATTAAACATTAGTGTCTAACACCAACAATGGCACCACCATGTTCTGCTTGAGAAACAGAAGGTAAAAGTGACCAAGAGAAATTAAACTGACAAAACTACGTTCCCTATCCAAACTGAGGGAAATGCAAGAATCACATATTAATAGTAACTTTGATTTATACCACTACCTTGGTGGCAATAGTTGAAGATGTTTTTGGTAAAACAGAAAAAGCTTCAGGTTTTGCATGCATGAGTTTTATGGTGACAGTGCCCTTTTAATAACCCAGTTTTGTAAGAATCAGTCTCTGCCTGTCCTGTCTATCCCATATATTTCACTCATCTGTCTCTCTGTCCCTCCATCACCTTTCATATAATCTTTCACTCCATCCACCAATCCTACCTGCCCAGATCTCTGTAATATGGGATGGCCTACTCCATGACTTCCCTGAGTAAACCTTCCTCCAAACATCAGTACCAATGAAATAATTGGGATTATCCCTGCGATCCCACCCATATCCAGTGGTCCAGTGGGGCAGACTGTTATATACATGAGTACTGTAGTCCTAGCTCATGAGTCATCCTGTTTGCTTTAGTGTGCTAGCTCCAAGACCATCCCTAGGGGGCGCGTGAATTGGGGTGACTGGTCCGGGCCCTGTGTGTTGGGGGTCCCCACGGAGCTGGGCAGAGCAGCCGCGGTGACTCTGTCTTGCCGCCGCTTGCTTCGTGTCCAGCCACTTGCTCCCCCCCTCCCCTGCCACCGATGCTGCCAGTGGTGGTGGCAGCTTCTTAAAGTCCAGGGCGCATGGGATCGGAGCAGGGGCGCGGCCCCACATGGGCTGATTTGCCCCAGGCCCCGCACCCTGCTCGGGTCAGCTCTGGAACTCACAGGGGTTAAAAGGGAAAAAATGTGGAGTGAAATTAAAACTATCAGACATATTGTAAAATAAATGTTGTTACCTATCATTTTCAGCAAGACCCATCTCTTGCATTTTTCCCCCTCCACTGAAATACCCAATGCAAAAGTCTCCCAGAGTAACTAAACTCTCTAATATAAGTTCCCCTGCAATTCCAAGGCCCTTTCCTACATTTTACATACATGAGTGGCTTTATCACTGCCACAGTTCCAGTGTGCACTCAAACATGTGTAAGTGTTTTCAGGAGAAGGCTCTTTGAGCTGGATCTTGTTACCCTAACTCCTTGGGAATGCTAGTGCAGTACCTTCCCCATTGATTATTGAAATAGTTTCAGTTACTCGAGTTTATTTTTGTGGAAAGGGGTTTATAATGTTTGTTCTTTTGGTGCAGGGCACAGACTGAGCCAGTACGTGGCAGCACAGCATACCAGTGCCTTTTGGAAGATGTTGTCTTATTCCCCAAAATACCGTGCTTGGAGGTTTTTTTTATAGTAAATCTTGAGCTGTCATTCCTGCAAAGGAAACTTCAGAAACAACTAAAGTAAAACCAATGCAGACATATCAGGGAGTGTGCAGGGGCCCTGGACCACAGCTCTGGAAGGGTGTTGACAGTCTCTCTCATCTCATTGAGGGGTTAATGCCAATGCCCTGTGTCGGAGAGTTCAGCATCCACAGTGTTGACATCTCAGGAATGGCACAGTCTGGCTGTTTCCTGAGACACCACCACTGTGAGATGCCACCACTTCTTCCCCTTCTCAGTCAAGAAAGAGCTAAGTTGCAGAACCCAGATGAGCCCATGGGCACATTCAGGCCTCAGGGAAATTTGGGGGCACCTTAGAACTCTCTCCTGAGTAGTGTCTCATTTGAAGACCCACCAGGGTTTTATGCATGGAGCTGAGAAGAGTGCAGACACCTTTCCCCTCCTCTTGATTCAACTAGGCAGACATGGAGTGATTTTTCTAGGTCACAGAGACAGAGTTGATTTTAGAGGTGAGCATAGCAGCCAAGGCCTTTGTCCAAGGTCCCAAGCTCTGGGGTCACACTTAGTTACGTTAATGCCGGTATCCAATGTGCAGAAGAGGGAAGGGGAGGTCTTACACTGTAGACTCACCTGGGTCCCTGTGAGCCTAATACTGGCTCTGCCTAGGAGAGCAGATTGGTCCCAATCTGATCATTGGATCCATGCAGGCATGCCTGTCTGCACTGCACTGGTATAGGTGCCAGGTGTACTGAATGAAGAGGTAAAGGCCCACTCCTGCAAGTACTTGGACCATTGTTAACTTGGCATACAGGAGGCATCCCAGTGAAGCCAGCCTTCAGTACTGATGGGCCTGGAGCTTTGTGGAAGGAATATCAGAGGTAGCTGCCTTTTTCCAATGGGATTTAGGCACCTACCTCACTTTGGCACAGGCAGCCTCTGTGTGTGGCATGAAACAAATCAGGGAGGGGAGAGGCAGCACAGTAGCAGATAGGGTGAGAAGCAGGCAACAGAGCTGGAGATTGGGCAGGGAGCCAGAGTAGGGAGCAGAAAACAGAGCAGCAGATCAGGCAGACAGAGGGGATTGGAGTGGCACAGAAAGTGCAGGCTAATAGGTAGCACATCTACCAGAGATTGGCCCATGCTGCCCTATTGTGGCACACCCCCTTTGTGGGCTGCAGCTCGTTCACAGACACCCAGTATTGCTAAATGTCCACTCGCTCAAGGAGCCATTAACACGGTCCTAACCCCATGGCCCAATTCCTGTTTGATGCTGTGTCCCTAACTAAACTCTTAGCACCCTGCAAACCCATGTGCCCTCAACATCCCGGGGGGCAAGTACCGTTGATTTTTTTTATTTGGGGGGGGGGGGGGCAGGGGGGATCATTGCAGCAGGTGCCACACACTGTCAAGAGGATTCCCCAGCATCCAGTTGTATCCCAGCACTTGGATGGCTTCGAGTGGCTTTGGCCCTGGGCAGAGTGAGGGGGTTTCTGTGTTCACCTGAAGCCAGGCCAAAGGCAGAGTAGGCAAGGAAGGCCCTTATGGACCACTGCCTCGCAACCAGGGTGCCCTGATGCCCAGGAGTGCCCTGAGATCCTGTCAAGGGTGTTGAATGGTGCAGGGCTAGCATTAGCAGCTGTGCAGACAGGATTCACAAGAGATTTCCCATTGGACTCTGCAGTCTTGCGCCCACACTCACCTTGCTGGGGGCTTTCAGGACACTTGATAGCATCATTTAGAAAGTTAGGCTTGACCTCAGGAGGTTATCTAATCCAACCCCCTGCTCCAAGCACGACCACCCCCAATTAGATCCTCCCAGCCAAGGCTTTGTCTGCCCAGGTCTTAAAAACCTCCAAGCACTAAGACCCCACCACCCCCTCAGGGCTTCCCTACCCCGGGACTGCCAGAGGCTAGAACGCAGGATCCTCTTTTAAGGCGCTGCCTGGGGGCGTGGCCAGGCGGAGGGGCGAGGCCAGACAAACGGAGGCGTGGCAAGGGAGGAGCGGGGCGAGTCCTGGCGAGCGGGCGTGTCCAGAAGAGCAAGGGGCGCGGTCGGGAGGGCGTGGGCGTGGCCAGGCGCGAGGGGGCGGAGCGTTCAGCTCCAGCGCAGCGCTTCAATAAGAGGGAGGCAAAAAAGCAGTGCGGGGCGGCGCGGGCGCGGGGCAGGTGC